TGGCTGGGAGGGACACCTGGGGCTCCGGGCCAGTGCACTGGTCCAGGCAGGTGGGACTCGGGCGCCGAGGTCGAGCTGAGATGGCCCAGCCTGTCCAGAATCGTGGGCCGTAACGGGAGACCCAGCAGGAGACAGCCCTCCAGCCTCCTCTGCCGGGAGGCCCTCAGCAGCAGCACCTGACCCAGACCCTCCAGGTGTGCTCTTTGGAAAGGCCGCTCCTGGGGCAAGGGAGGAGGAAGGCTGGAAGCCATGGGGGATGGGGAGGTGGTAGAATGAGGGTCGGGGGTGACAGAGGAGACATAATTCAGGAGACAAAACCCAAGAAGCCTCGATTCCCAACCGGAGTGAAATGATGAGGGAGACAATGGCCTTAAATCAGACACGCGTTTATGTGCGATCCATCACAACAGCCACTCCGGGTTCGTCGTTTATGTGCGATCCATCACAACAGCTACTCCGGGTTCGCCGTTTATGTGTGATCCATCACAACAGCTACTCCGGGTTCGCCAACTCAGGCAGAAACCCAATAGCTTTCCAATTAGGAGGCAAAGGCAAGAGGTACTCACAGAGAGAGAGGAAAGGGAACAATGACATTAATAGAGGGGAGGCATTTCTATCGTAGCAGAGAGGCTAACATAGTGACGCCAATTCTAAACAACTTTTTAACTTTTCAGTCCGTGGGGCGGGGCGGGGCGGGGCGGGGCGGCGTTTTCCGTCCAATAGTCATCAGTCTGCCAGTCCGAGAATCTGCTTTCTTGTTATCTTTGCAAGTAGTTGTTTGGGAGACAACGTCGCCTTAGGCCCAGTGCAGAGGTTATTCTGCCGTTCATAACATTCCGAAGGTTTGAGGCACAGGACATGCAAGGCAGTTCCTCTGGGACGGCAGCCCCGACTCCATTCTAAGTGGCTCCGCTCACCCTGGCCGGGTTTGCTCAATGGTTAGAGTGTCGGCCCTCGGACCAAAGGGTTGAGGGTTTGATTTCTAGTCAGGGGCACGTACCTGGGTTTCAAATTCGATCCCTGGTCCCAGTCGGGATCGTGCAATGTGTCTCTCTCACATCGATGTTTCTCTCTCTTTCCCTTCCACTCTAAAAAAATCAATAAAAAATAACCTCGGGTGAGGATTAACTAACTAACTAAAAATAAAGTGGCTGTGTTATTGTCATTCAGGCAAGGAAGTCGCCGCAGCCGACATCAGCAATTGTGTCCCTGCGTAGCAAGCAGCTACTGAAAACGCCCAGAGAAAGCCGGCTTTCTCTGCAGCACCACCTTGGTAGTTGCTTAGGTCAGAGGAGCTAGAGGACCGGGACACAGTGGGGCCCGGCTGTCCGGGTGCGAAGAAGTGGGAGCCCAGCCCTGGCCAGGCCGCTCAGTTGGCGAGCGCATTGTCCTGCTATGCCGGAGTTGTGGGTTCAATCCTTGGTCAGGGCACGTGCGAGAACCAAACAAGGAAAGCGTGAACGAGTGACCGAGTCCATGTTTCCCTCTCGCTAAAAAAAAAAAAAAAAATCAACAAATAGAATGAAAAGGAAAAAAAAAAGAAGTGGGAGCCTAAGACCTGAGAGAGAAGGTACAAAATGTGACTCTTGTCCAAGACCACCCTGCAGACCACCCGTAGACCATGCCACTGCACGGCCCAGCTATGGGGCTTCACCGGGAGGCCGGGCGGAGCCCAGGCCTGGGGCGCTGCAGGCAACCTGAGAACAAGGTGAGTCACCTGTCACCAGTGGATCTTCTCTGACTGTCCTCCCTCTCCTCCCCCATCCTCTCTTCCTCGGATAGGGATTCGCACAGTCATTGTGTTAACCCTGACCTTTTGTCTTGTGTTGTTTCTTCCTTTTTGGTAATGTAAGTGCCTGGCTTGTGCTTTGACTAGGAGACATCCACTTCAAAGACGGTGTCTGCTGATAAAGGGCCAGGCCACCTCCCCCACTGAGGCACCTTTGTTTTAGAGATTTTGGTTGATTTCAGTCACTGACCATTGGGCTGATTGTGTGTTTTCTCGTCCCTTGCTTTAAATTCCCACTCTTATGTTTTAAATTTACCAGTAAAGAGGAGCCTGTGAAAGCCTAGGCCCCCATCGTCCACCCCTGTGAAAGCAGAACGCCAGGCCCGAGCGCTCCCCACGTCCCTAGACTTTGCTGGGTGGCCCCAGGGAATTTCCATGCCTTGTGAGTAGGAGTAGAAAACCTGTATTTTTTGCCCTGGCCGGTTTGGCTCAGCGGTTAGAGCGTCGGCCTGCGGTCCAGAGAGACCCGGGTTCGGTTCCCGCTAAGGGCACGTACCTCGGCTGCAGTTTGTCCCTGGCCCTGGTTGGTCGTGCGGGTGGCAGCCACTCGATGTGTCCCTTCACATCGATGTTTCTCTCTCTCTCTCTCCCTCCTGCTCTATCTGAACAAAAAATGGAAAAATGTCCTCGGGTGAGGATAAAAAAAAAAAGAAAACCTGTATTTTTTTTAAGGTTCCCTGACGGCTGTTGCCCAAGGGCATCCTGTGGTCCCAGTAAGAACTACTAGGGCTGATCCAGCCGCGTTGGTTTTGAAAACAGCACAAAACAGGGGCCCACCCTAAATCCGATATGAGCTCACCTTGAGGTCCTTAACTAACTGCACCTGCAAAAACTGGTTTCCAAATAAGGTCACATGCTGAGGTTCTGTGTAGAACTGAATGGGGGGCATTATTCAACCCACTACAACCAAGATGTCCGAGGGTCCCTGACACCCTTGCAGAAATAGACTCGGCAGCCAGGTTCAAAGCCCTGGCTGGCAGTTGAGGCTACTCAGTGGGGGTCAAGTACAGGGTCAAGCTCCCGACATTCCAGTGTGGAGGTTCACCGGGAACAGGCCAGCAAGTCCCCGCTGACCCCTGGCACCATGGCTCTGTGTGGCTCCCGCTGGGGATCGGGCCCACAACCTGGGCATGTGCCCTGACCGGGAATCAAACCAGGGACCTCTTGGTGCCTGGGTTGATGTGCAACCACTGAGCCACACTGGCCGGGTGATGATGCAGCATTTTTATATGAGAAGAATCAAAGGAGTTCAACTTGAAAAAGAAAGAACATTGGACAAATGGCGGGTAGGCGACTCTGCAGTGCCCAGGCTTGTCCCTGCTAAGTGTGAGATGGAGAGGACTGGAATCCCAGGCCCGAAGTAGGAAATGCTCCCGCACGACCTGCCCAGGGCTGGGGGTGAACCGCAACCAAGGTACGTGCCCTTGACTGGAATCAAACCCTCGACTCATTGGTCCGAGGGCTGACGCTCTAACCACTGAGCAAAACCAGCCAGGGCTGGAAATGCTATTTTATTTATTAATTTTTTATCCTCACCCGAGGACATTTTTGCATTTATCTTCAGATAGAGTGGGAGGGAGAGAAGGAGGAAGAGAGAGAGAAACATGGATGTGAGAGACATCGACTGGCTGCCACCCACACGACCCCAACCGGGGCTGGGGACAAACTGCAACCGAGGTATGTGCCCTTAGCGGGAACCGAACCCGGGACTCTCAGGTCCGCGGGCTGATGCTCTAACCACTGAGCAAAACCGGCCAGGGCTGGAAATGCTATTTTAAACTTAAGAGCATATGAGGTACAATATGATCCAGGCTGGGACAAATCAGAAAAAGACATAAAAATACTTCATCTTCCTAAATGAGAAACAAGAAACAAAATTGGATAGAGCTCCTCTTTCCTCACAAAGGGACCTGCAATGCCCCAAGGGCATCCCACCTGGCACAGCTCATGTTAAATTGCACCGTGAACACCCTGTGGGTACCTGGTCACGAGCAGCAGCAGGCACTGGGCTCAGAGGGGAGCGGCCATCGTCTCTGCAGCAGACCCTGCCTCTCTGGACCAGGGGAGGCTGACGGCCTGCAGCTGGGGAGACTGGGGCGGGGGGCTCAGGCCGCCCTCAGGCTGGGAGAGACGGCAGAGCTGGAAATGGGACCTGGAAGGAGGCTGGAATTGGCCAGTCTCCTGGGGAAGAACGATGTGGGCAGAGAAGTCAGGTGAGCTCGGTGCTGCCGGACAGTGTGTATGGAGCCTCCGCAGACGGGAGGCCGCATGCAGTGCTCAGAGGAACCACCGTGTGGGGAGAAAACCACCACAAATCAGAAAAACCCTGCTGGTCAGAGGGTGGAGCCCAACTGGATGCCACAGGGCGGGAGCCTGGGTGGGGGGCTCCAGGTGGGAGACCCAGTGAGGAGCCTGTCACCTGGCTTGGGGACTGCTGGGCTGGGAGATGGGGGACCCTTAGGAAGACATCTTCGTTCCCGTCTAGAGCACCCACCAAAGAATATGGGGGAGCACCCGTGTGGGAAGCAGGCAAATGATGCGTTTACTCTAGGAAAAATGAAAGAAATCAAACAAAAGAATCACTGTGAGATGACCGGAGGAGGCAACCCTCATCAAGGGAAAGCAGGCAACGGGAGCTGGTAAGGAAGCAGACTGTCATCAGGACAGCCACGCCGGGCCGGGCAGTGCTGCATGTTCTGTTCACAGCCCCCACGCCCCCGCCCCGGTTCCGGACTCCGCGCTCTTCCTCCCCGTGGGTGTTCTGGAAGTGGCGGGAGGAAGCACCTGCCCAGAACACGACATCATAACGTTGACAGCCAGCATCTGACACGAGTCTATTTGCAGACACTTGTCCTCCCCTAGCAACCTGGTCACCAGCAAACAGGACTTCACCGCTCTCCCCACTCAGACTGAGGCCCACATTCCTCACCAGGGACCCCACCCTCCCCGGGTCCGCCTAAGAGGCAAAAATAAAACCACCTGCCCTGGCTGGTTTGGCTCAGCAGTTAGAGCGTCGGCCTGCAGGCCACAGAGCTGCGGGTTCGATTCCAGTCAAGGGCACGAACCTCGGTTGCAGCTCGGTCCCTGGCCCTGGTCGGGGTCATGCGGGAGGCAGCCAGTCGATGTTTCTCCCCCCCACACACACTTCCTCTCTTTCTAAAATCAATAAAGAAAAAAAAATTGAAAACAAACAAACAAAAAACCTACCCAGGAAGCTGGGTTGTAGAACCAGCAGGTGGACGCTGTGGAAGCCGAGGTGGAGGCCACGGCCACAGGGGTGACACCCCCCTGGATAGGAAGACAGTCGCTGTCCCTAGCCGGGCGGGGCCGGCACTGGCACCTGTGACTTCTCAGGCAAGTGGAATTAACACCCTTTTGATACACGTAGGAAACCAAGGTCCAAAGAGCCGCCGGCAGCCTTGGGACTAACTAGTGAATGGCAGAGCCAGGCCTCCAGCCCGGTCCGACGCAGAGGCTCAGAGCACGAGATGTCCACCTAAACATCAAGGACACGGACAAGTCAGATCAGTAAGCTGGAACAATCTGAGGCTTGAAGTAAACAAAGCAGGCAAATTCCCCCCAAACTGTGGTTTATGTGGATTCTGGCTGACACCATTTGTATGACGCTTCTCTCCCTTTGTGTGGCACTATCTCCATGTAGCCCCTTCCCCTAGCTGGCAGTGAAACGTCATCAAACGTACATGAGCACCCCCACACACACGGCCTGACGTGTAAATGTGACGCGTGTTCACACGTGGGTCCGAGAACGGCCTCTACCTGAAGTCCGGCCTCAGCATAACACTGTGAGAACGAACTCACGTTATAGCATCATCACAACAGAGGGGACTTCAGCGTCAAGACAGTGAATGAAGTGAAGTCAACGGCGTCACTGCGAACTCAGTCAAGGCTCACTCACGCCCACCTCGGGGATTACTCGATGCCTCCATCTCTCTGCCCAACCAGCTGGGGTTCCCTCCCAGACTCTTCCGTAAGCCACCGTGTCCTCACATCAAGGGCTCGTTCCCGCCAAGGCCGTGAACCTCCCCTGCCGCCAACCCAGGCGCTGACGTCCCATAGCCACCCGGTAGGACGGTCGGGCTCATCGGCAGTGGCTCACCCACAAAGCTGGGATGACAAGACTGCTGTCTTCCGAGCGCACTGAGGCAGAGGTCTTTGTAAAGGCAGGTGACTGCGGAATACTTTCGGCTGCCTGTTTCCCTGAAATCATAGTCAAAAGGATTGAAACCAAAACAGCTGTCGGGTTCAAAGCCCTCCTTTCTCGCGGCAGCGTGATTCTGTGAGATGTTTAGGTCTGTTTTGTTTTATTTATTTATTAATTAATTTATTTTTAATCCTCACCAGAGGACATTTTTCTATTTTTTTCTCAGAGTGGAAGGGAGAGAGGGGAAGAGAGAGAGAGAGAGAGAAAGAGAGAAACATCGATACGAAAGGGACTCATCGAGTGGCTGCCACCCACACGACCAACCAGGGCCGGGGACAAACTGCAACCGAGGTACATGCCCTTAGCGGGAACCGAACCCGGGTCTCTCCGAACCGCAGGCCAATGCTGTAACTGCTGAGCCAAACTGGCCAGGGCAGGTCTGTTTTGTTTTAAATTCAGAGCAAAAAAAAAAAATTTTTTTTTAATCCTCATCCAAGGACATTTTTCCATTTTTTGTTCAGATAAAGTGGGAGGGAGAGAGAGGAAGCGAGAAACATCGATGTGAAAGGGACACATTGAGTGGCTGCCACCCACACGACCGACCAGGGCCGGGGACAAACTGCAACCGAGGCACGCGCCCTTAGCGGGAACCGAACCTGGGTCTCTCTGGACCGCAGGCCGACGCTCTAACCGCTAAGCCAAACCGGCCAGGGCCATTGTGTTATGTTTTTGTTCCCAGTTCTTGAAAGGGCTCCGGCACATAAAGGTGAAATGGGTGTCTCGTCATCCAGGACAAGCCCCTGCACCTCCCAGGGTTTGTGCTAATGACTAGCTTGGGGCCCTGGCCAGTTTGGCTCTGAAGTTAGACCGTCAGCCTGAGGACCAATGAGTTGCAGGTTCAATTCCGGTCAAGGGCACGTACCTCAGCTGTGGTTTGTCCCTGGCCCTGGTTGGGGTCGTGTGGGAGGCAGCCAGTCAGATATGTCTCTCTCACATCAGTTTCTCTCTCTCTTCCTCCCTCCCACTCTATTTGAAGATAAATGGAAAAATATCCTCGGGTGAGGATAAAAAAAATGAATGATTAGCGTGGGGACTCAGAATAGCCTCAGATGGGGGTGTGTGTGGGGAGAGCTAGTTGCCAGAGGAACCAACCACATGATCAGAGGGTTGGCACTTTGGGGCCTACCCCTCAACCCCCAGCAGGGGAGAGGGGCCAGAGGTTGAATCAATCACCAATGGCCAATGATTTAATCCATCACAACTATGTAATGAAGCTTCCATAACTATCCCGAACTATGAAATTCGAACAGTGGAATTCGGAGGGCTCCTGGTTGATGAACACGTGAAGGGCCTGGAGGGTGGCCCCCAGGGAGGGCAGGGAAGCCCGTGGCCCCTTCCACACGTGACCTTCACATCTCTGCCATGCGGCAGTTCCTGGGCGGGATCCCCTGTAATGAACCAGTCAGCTTTTCCTGAGTTCCGGAACCGCTCTAACACATCAATCCAACCCTTGGAGGGGGTGGTTCCCTACGACTGTCTGTGGGTCAGAAGCACAGGTGGCAACCTGGACCTGTGCGGAAGCAGTCTTAGGGCCTGAGCCCGTCGCCTGCGGGGCCTGCTGCCATCGGCAGGGGGGCAGCGGCAGAACTGAGTGGAATTGCTGGGCGCCCAGAGCCCGCTGGAGGGTACAGAAATGCCTGGTGTGGGCAAAATCCCACACATCTGGTCTCCGGAGTTTGTGAGTATGAGAGCAAAGGAGAAACAGAGTTTTTCCCTGGGAATAGACTCCTTAACCTTCCAAAGAAATGTCTTTATTTACAGGGCTTAGGAAAAAAAAAAAAAAAGCTCTAGAAAAAGGAAATTTCAAAGTAGGTCTTGGGTGAGGGCCTGGGTGCAGCAGGTGCTGGGCCGGGTGGAGCCTCACCCTCCTGCGCTCACTTCCAGGTGGTGAGGACCGCTCTCCCCGAGTCTCTCGAGCGGCCCCCTCGGGGCCCTACCGACTGGCCCGAACGACTTCTCAGCTCACGGTCAGCCCCGTCACCCTGCGCCAGCTCTTCGTCGTACCTGGAAACACAAAGAAAACAAAATGTCCAGGACCTGGTGTCAAGGTCATTGGGCTGCAGTGTGGCAAATCCCACGTCACCCAGAGAAGGTCCTGGCAGCCCAGTGGCCATGGGGCACGGGGTACAACTTAATTAAAGTACTACTGTGGACATCCCTGCCCCACAGTTAATTTCACACAGGCCACCATATGGAATTCGGCAATGACCACATAGAAACATGGATGAGACATCAGGGGAGTGAAGGAGAGAGTGATGTCTGGGGACACTTTGCCCGCAGCACCTGCGGGGCAGGTATGACTAACCCCACTTTTACAAGGCTCAGGGGTACCCAGGGCCTGGCATGTGGTAAGTGCTTCATTAACATTTATGACACTAAGACCACACAAAGGCCTGGCCTTTTCTGCGATGATATGATCTATCCCGTAACATCACTGATGCCCTGGCCGGTTTGGCTCAGCGGTTAGAGCGTCAGCCTGCAGACCAGAGAGTCCCGGGTTCGGTTCCCGCTAAGGACATGTACCTCGGCTGCAGTTTGTCCCCGGCCCCGGTTGGGGTCATATGGGTGGCAACCACTCGATGTGTCTCTCTCACATTGATGTTTCTCTCTCTCTCTTCCTCCAGCTCTCCCTCCTGCTTAAAAAAAAAAATAACATCACTGATAAATGAGATGCTCTGCCCACATGAGGTAAGTCCACATATGGCCAGAAGTCCAAGCGGGGCCATGGCCACTCAGTCTGAAACACCCAGGATGAGGGCACAGCCGTGCGCAGACTCACAGAACTTCGTAATTGCCCAGGACCTCCTTCGGGGGGGACTTGTTCCATTTACAGTCTGGAATCTCGCCGTTAGGGACTGCGATGTTGAGGGTGTCGTTGATCAGGTTATACTTAAGGATCCGATCGTTGGCCGTGCTGGAGGTGAGCGACGGGGACGCGTTAACCTACGAGAGGAAAGAACCACGTCCCTCACTTGCATCGCTTACTCCTGTGGAACGAAAGTGCACAGTGCAGAAGAGAACACAGCTACCAGGCACTGAGGTCAGGTTGTGTCTCGTACTGTTTTTTTTTTTTTTTTTTTTATCCTCACCCGAGGATATTTTTCCATTTTTTTTTACAGATAGAGTGGGAGGGAGAGAGAGGAAGGGAGAGAGAGAGAGAAACATCGACGTGAAGGGACACATCGAGTGGCTGCCACCCGCACGACCAACCAGGGCCGGGGACAAACTGCAACCGAGGTACGTGCCCTTAGCGGGAACCGAACCCGGGTCTCTCCGGACCGCAGGCCGACGCTCTAACCGCTGAGCCAAACTGGCCAGGGCGTGTCTCGTACTGTTAATATCCAGTATCTTCAGGGCACCTTCAGAGGAAGCATTTTATGATCTACTTTTATTAGCGGTTAGATGAAACATAAATAATACTTAAAGGCAGGATTAGGATTGTGATCTACAAATTGGTCACCATACAAATAAAACGTTTAGGCCAATGGATATCACAAACACATGAGTGTCTGTCTACCTGTGTGATGAGCTCTGTCCTAAGTACCAAATGCCACCCAGAGCTTTGCTAGACCAGCGAACCAAATGACCCTGAACAAGTAGCATCGTGCGGTTGAAGTAAACAGTAATGGGCCCTGTTTTGCTGGGAGAGTAATACCTCACCCATAAAGCAACACTCTGATCAAATGAGGAACCCACCTGCTATATGGGAAGTTAGTCTCATAAGGCCTCCGAGGAGCTAAGCAATGTCACAAAATCCACACGTTCAAAGCAGACATGGACTCCGTGGAGAGTCCCCGGCCCTCAGTCTCCACCTCCATACTCCTGTGCAGGCCCAGTGGCAGGGACCCGGGAGAGCAGAGACAGCACAACGCACGCTGCTCAGGGGCTCCCAACAGCCAGACTGTCTGTGCTGCTGGCAGGGTGTCGGCTGCGCACCGTGCAAGGGACTGTGTGGGCCTCAGGTATCCCTCAAACGGCTCCTGTACCACAGCATCAGACACGATTCTTATTACAAATGTGCTAAAATCCAGATGTTACTATGCCAGAAGTAATACTCTCAGTTAAGATCCTAGCTCATCAAGGAAAGCTTGATTTCCATTCAATACTCTGTTTAAGATGGAAGGAAAGAAAACAAATATTGTACGCGTATCTCCCCACCTCAATGTCCACACACACACGCACACACACTCACATGCACAATGCACATACACTCATATGCACAATGCACACATGTGCACACACGTTCACATGCACACACGTACAGACGTGCACAACGCTCCCATGCACACATGCGCACACTCACATGCTCACACACTCATGCGTGCGCACACACATGCTCACGTGCACACACACTCACATGTACACAGTGCACACATGCACGCACACACGTGCACACATGCTCACATAGACACATGCACAGCTTTGGCAGTGTAACTAGCAGCCTGGAAAGCAGCGGTGTGGAGCACACTCGCTCTGTGACAGCCTGGCTCTGCTGGCAGCTTCCTGCAGGGTCCCCTCAGACTCCCTCCACAGACCACTTGCCACAACTTGCTCTGGAACTTGGCGTGCCTGGCTCAAAGTGGGCTCGGGCTGCCCGCCTGTCAGTGAGCACGGTGAGAAGACATGTGTTCAGGGGCACAGGGAGGGGAGCCGAGTGGACGGCCTTCATCCTTGCGGCACGTCTGACCCTGTGTCCCCTCAGAGGCCTGAGCTCCTCTTCCTGGCTGCAAAGCAAAGCAGGACAGCCCAGCAGGCGGGCTCCAGGTCTGGGCCTCAGGGGTGCGCCAGTGCCCACGGCCGCTGAGGCAGCATCACCCAGGCTTGTCATGGAAAAAGGGGTGTATGCACCTTGCCCTTTCTAGAACTTTCTAGAATAGCCACCACATCTGTCAATGCCTTGAAACAGGGAGACAAATCTACTTCTAAACTCTGCCTTCATCCAAAGAAGATAGGTTCCTTATCTCTGGACAGTATGCCACCACCTCCCAAGGGCTTCCGGATCCGTGGGCTCGTTCCTGAATGGGAGCGGCATCCCCCAGGGAACGCGGCAGGCCTCCGAGCATGGACGGGTCCGGGAGCACCCTGGAGCACCGGGCATCCGGGCCACGGAGCTCCTGCCTGGGCCACCAGAGGTGACAGCCCTGGAATGGGCTCATCTTCAACCATCAGCAGACGGACACACCTGGCCCTCTATCCCCACCACATTAGAAACTCATCCAAGGCCCAGTGCTGCCGCCCGGCCTGAGCGCCGTGAGGCTGGGGCAGTGGACCTGAAGCGGGGCAGCGGCCTCGGGGCGGGCTGCGGCCAGCAGGTCTCGGTCTGCAGTTACCTCGATCAGCCAGGGCTTCAGCCTGTCGTCTATGATGATGTCGTAGCCGTAGCACTCAAAGCAGTGCTTGTCGTTGTTCATCACCGGCTGCAGAGAGAGAAGCCGGTTACACGGCCAGCATCTGAGACGCAGGACGTGACAGTGGCAAAACCCTGCACAGCTGTGACGTGCCATGTCTCTCTTCTGTGACCAGTGGGTCCCAACCTCCAACCTCACCCCATCTCCTTCCTTCGATCCCCCTCTGGGGCTCAGAAGTGGACGCTTTCCACAACCCCAGAGAGGGATTTGTGAAGCAATCAGTGTCCCCAGCTCCCATTCATCAGAGGCTCAGTGACCAGCACTGAACGTGTCTGTCGGCATGAGACTGTCATTGGAGTAAGCAGAAGTCCAGCTGCAGCCTGGGCACCCGCAGTGAAGGCTGAGCAGCCGTGTCACAAACCAACCAACACTGTCCACCTGGCTATCAGTCCCCTCTCGGGCCTCAGGGATGCAAGGAGCCAGGTTATGAACCTCCATTCCCTGTGACAAGTCAGTCTGTTTACTTAAATTTGGGGGTTTTCAATGTTCAGTTCCATTTCATAAACGGGTCTCCAGGTGCACAAAAACCCCCACGTGTGCTTGCTTACAATGCAGACTCGGGCCTCCCCGGGCTGCCTGGATTAAAGCTGCGGCAGAGCCCAGCCAGTGGCAGTGTGATACACGAGGGAGGACATGGACACGGCAGTGAGGCCATCTGATACGCCAGTGGACACGTGGACTTGACTGCATGTAACACAGGAGACCCCTAAGGTGGGAGAGGGCCCCGTCCAGCCCTCACTCCCTGCCAGAGGAAAACCAGGCTCAGTGGGCTGTCCCACCCCGTGACTGGGTGGAACTGCACTCCCACTGAGAGCCTGGTGTCCCCGCCGGTCCAGGGCTGGCACCATAGCCCCAGAAAGCCTCCGCAGGACAGGGAGTTACTGACCCTTCTTCATCCTCCAACCCTGCTGTCTCTGGCTCTCTGAGCACTCTGTCCCCCAAGCTGTGGCTCCCAGCTCCTCTGTCCTGTCCCATGTTCAGGGTCTGGGGCCCTCCCACGTGGGCCAGGAGCCCACCTCCTGCTCTGCACCAGGCCTACTTCACGAGTCATGGCAGCCAACTGCCATCTCCTAGATTCTCCAAAGGCAACACATCTGGTAAAAACAGGGCAACTAGCCCGGCCGCTGAGGCTCAGTGGATTGAGCATCATCCCGTGGACGGAGAGGTCCCGGTTTGATTCCCAGTCAGGGCACGTGCCCAGGTTGCAGGTTTGATCCCCAGTAGGGGGCGTGCAGGAGGCAGCCGATCGATGTTTCTCTCTCACATCAATGTTTCTATCTCTCCCTCTCTGTAAAAAAAAATAACAGGGCAACTAAATATTTGGTAAATGAAGAAAAACTGAAAGAATAAACCCCTGCTCCCAAAACCCTTGGAGCCTCAGAAATCCAACAGCTTCTGGGCTCTGGAAGCCGAGGCCCAGGAGGCGACATGGAGAGGCCCGGCCAGAGGCCCCAGCTGTGACAGGTGACGGCTGGGCCAGCACACAGCTCTGCCAGAGCAGGGGCCCCAAAGGGACGGAAAACCTGGCTGAATCAAGCACAAAGAGCCCTGTCGCCTGGATGGACAGACTGCCGGCTACACCTCTGTCCCAACCATTAAGGCCACATCTGCAGAGCATGGTCACACGACAACCCCGTGACATCAGTGCCTGGGACCCCGTTTCACAGAGGCGGCCTCTGAGGCTCCGAGAGGGTGGGCACCAGTGCAAAGCTGCTTGTCAGCACATGTAGGGTTGGGGGTTTAGTGGACGAACAAAATGTAACCTTGAGGTATGCATTCTGGCGGCCTGGCCAGCCAGGGATCAAAGTATACCCGTGAACAGACCAGGTGTGCATGTTCGGAAAGCCGCCCTGTAAGTATGATCCAAGCATGCATGATAAGGCCAGAACCTGCCCTGAATGTACGACATGCATGAGAACAGATGAGGGTGCATGCTGGGTTCGGAAAGCCGCCCTGTAAGTATGATCCAAGCATGCATAATAAGGCCAGAACCTGCCCTGAATGTACGACATGCATGAGAACAGATGAGGATGCATGCTGGGTTCGGAAAGCCGCCCTGTAAGTATGATCCAAGCATGCATGATAAGGCCAGAACCTGCTCTGAATGTACGACATGCATGAGAACAGAGGAGGGTGCATGCTGGGTTCAGAAAGCCACCCTGTAAGTATGATCAAAGCATGCATGATAAGGCCAGAACCTGCCCTGAATGTACGACATGCATGAGAACAGATGAGGGTGCATGCTGGGTTCGGAAAGCCGCCCTGAAAGCGCCAATGGGCTTATCGCCCAAGCGTGAATGTGTTTGTTATGTGTCTCCGCTGAAAACAGCAGAGACAGCTGGAACAGGGAGTATGCTGGGCTTGCCTGTAAGGTCAGCAGAGACGCGATACCTACAACACCATGCAACCTAGGGAACCACTCTGCAAATAAACTGGGCTGCATCCAGAGATCTGGAGCATCTGCTCCCGTGTGATGTTCACCATCACTCCCAGCAGCGTCTGCCTGGAGTCCATTGCGTTGCGACGAGCCCTGGCAGGCCAAGAGTCAGCAAGCGCATGCTGGGGCCCAGCCAGAAATCTCTCCAGAGCCCAGAGCTCCGCACTCACCCCCCATGCGGCCCCCCACCCCCAGGTCTTCAAGGTACAGGAAGGCTCCCGTGTGGGGCAGGAGAGGTGGCACAGGCCCCAGGACGTCTCCAGCAGTGGACTGGATGCACTAGGTCCTGGCTGTCCTTTCCCATCAGCCCTCCTGTAAACCAGACACAGAGGAACTCACGAGGTGCTTTGCAGCACTCTGCGAAACGGGAAGCGCTCAGCTCGGGACATGAGAAAGGCGGGGTGCCCACCAGATGTGTCGCCTCTGGCTGTCCGTAATTTCCTTTATGTGGTTGTTCCAACAAAGCTTTTCACACACGGGGTATCAGTATAGTTGGCGTTTTCTTTTTTTTTTAATCCTTACCCAAGCACATTTTTGCATTTATCTTCAGATAGAGCAGGAGGGAGAGAGGAAGGAAGAGAGAGAGAAACATTGATTCGAGTGGCTGCCACCCATACGACCCCGACCGAGGCCAGGGACAAACTGCTACTGAGGTACGTGCCCTTAGCGGGAACCGAACCCAGGACTCTGGTCCGCGGGCTGACGCTCTAAGCACTGAGCCAAACCGGCCTGGGCTAGTTGGCATTTTCAAAGGTAAAAATGAGAGAGAAGGTCTTAATCTTTCACGAGAAGGCTTCACGTAAATACTTCACACAAATATTTCACACGGCTGCCAAAGCCGTACCACGTTCTCCAGAGCAGCTGTCCACGCATTCCTGACCCGGGGTGTGGGGCAGAGGGCTGGGGAGCCCTTCCCTGACAGCATGTGGGACGCCCACTGCCACCTGGCCATGGGGACGCGTCTGAAGTTTTATGAAAAGGACAGGAAAGCCCTGGCCGGTTTGGCTCAGCAGCTGGAGCATCAGCCTGCGGTCCAGAGAGACCTGGGTTCGGTTCTCGCTAAGGGCACGTACCTCGGTTGCAGTTTGTCCCCGGCCCTGGTTGGGTCCTGCAGGTGGCAGCCACTTGATGTGTCCTTTTCACATCGATGTTTCTCTCTCTCTCCTTCCCACTCTATCTGAACGAAAAATGGAAAAATGTTCTCGGGTGAGGATAAAAAAAAAGGACAGGAAGCTCCCACCACACGCACATGCACTCCACTGGACCTGTCCCCAACTCTGGCCCAGGCTGTGGTCCTCAGGTCCTGCACCCAGTGGCCAGTCTTTCAGGAGCCCCCTCAGCAGGCCAGGGCCCTGACACCTGTCCCTCCACATCCTGGCTCCGAGTCCTGAGCCCCCATTTTGCTTCTGAGCCACTGGGGGTGACAGACACCTCAGAGAGCCTCACAGGAACCACTGGACACGGCAGTCTGAGGCTGGGCTCCAGGGCTCATCCCTTCCCGGCCCTGGAGAGCCCGCGCCTGCTGCAGAGCAGCAAACAAACAGAAAAACCACACCAGCAACAAATAGGAGGTTTGAGCTGAAGAAAGACAGGATATCTCCACCCCTAAATGTCTATGAAATAGCAAAGCAAGAAGCCTAAAGACAAGGAGGTTGCTGAAAGTCCACCTCCAAAACATCAGTTTATGCCAAAACAGTCCTTATCAACTCAATGGGCGCAGAAGAGCTGATGACTATGACGTCAAGGGGACGTTCTCAGGCCCCTGGCTACAGCAGAGGGCATGGCTCCAGGCCCACCCTGGGCAGCACCTGGCTGGAAGTGGCCCCTCCTCGTTCTGGAACCTGCCTCAGCCTTGAGCAGATAACTACGTGAGACCCTGAAAACAGGTATTTCTGGCAAAGAACAAGCACCCCCGGCTCCCAAGCACCTGCTGGGCTGTCTTCCCCCCTCTCTCTCTCTGCTCTGGGCACCCCGCCCCCGTGCCCTGTACTCACCGCCACGGCCTTCAGCGACTGCACGATGATCCAGTGGATCTCGTCGAACAGCTTGCTGGTCACCTCCTTGCCTCGGGTGCTCTCCAGGTACAGCCGCAGGTTGCTCACTGTCCACTTGCCCCCGTGGATGTGGTTGTAGTCCTCCTGGCCATGGGAAAGGGGGCGGGCTTCAGGCAATGCCCCCCAGAGAACTGAGTGCCCTTCCCCCTCCAGGTGGACCTGGCCCAGGGTGTCTGGGCCTCCTTCATGTGCACATTTTTTAAATACTCAGCTCTGGAATATTCTCACAATTAATCATGTATACCTTGTAGTGCATGCTGTGGAGGCCACCCAGACCCCCCCATTAAGACCAAGGCACCTCTACTCCACACCTATGCACTGGGGGCTCCAACCACCCTGACCTCCTTTCAGCTCCTGCAATGCTCCTTCCTGCCACAGGGCCTTGGCACATGCCTCACCCTCTGCTAGAAGGCTCTTTCCCCACCGACCCCTGGGTAACCCCTGCTCAAGCTCCTGCAGGGAAGCCTTCTCCAACCATCAGGACAAGGGGACCCTGCCATTCCACGCTCTTCCAGAAGCGCATTCTGTACCTCAGAGCACACGTCTCAGTCTGACTACATGCTCTTCAATGAGATCTTTTTTTTTTTTTTTTATCCTCACCCGAGGACATTTTTCCATTTTTTGTTCAGGTAGAGTGGGAGGGAGAGAGAGGAACAGAGAGAGAGAGAGAAACATTGATGTGAAAGGAACACCCGCACAACCGACCAGGGCCGGGGACAAACTGCAACCGAGGTACGTGCCCTTAGCGGGAACCGAACCCGGGTCTCTCAGGACCGCAGGCCGACGCTCTAACTGCTGAACCAAACCGGCCAGGGCTCAATGAGATCATTTGATGGCTGTCTCCCCCCACAGGCTCTGAGCTCCACGAGTAGGGACCAAGGTAGTAACTGCCCATCACTGTATAGCCCCAGCACTTAGCGGGGACCGACCCAGGTAGGTGCTCAGTGCATTTGTTGAATGAATGAATGACTAGGCATGAGTGTTCTCACGTAATCCTCCCAACAACCCTCTAAGGCAATAACAGCATCCCCTTTTACGGTTGGGGAAACTGAGGCTCTGAGAGCCAAATTAACTTGCCCAAGGCCACAGAACCAGAAGGGGAGGGCTTGCCCCTGGCTCCCTTGGTCCCCGTGTCCCCCTCGTCCACCCCAGACTGGACTCCCAGGGCTCCCACTCCCGGTCGGTGCCAGGGCCTCTTGCCATCACCCCCACACCCACCTCACACTCTCCTGCAGAAACAGAAACAGAAAGACACCCACACAATCAACCTGCTTCCTTGGGCTCGAGGGGACACACACTCACCCCGTGTTTCTGAATGGCCACGTTGGTGAGGTGCACGAACATGTTGTCCAGCTCGCTGGTGCTGGGGGTGTACTTCACTGTGCAGAAGCGGCAGAAGCCGAGCTTGTACCTGGGTGGGAATTCAGATCAGCTCAGAGCTCTGAGGAGAAGCTCGCAAAACGCAACACTTCCTTCTCTAAAAGGAGCTGTGAATGTTTTGTTGTTTTAAACTTTTCTTTTTATCCTCACCCGAGGACATTTTTGCATTTATCTTCAGATAGAGTGGGAGGGAGAGAGAGAGAGAGAAACATTGATGTAAGAGTGACACATCGAGTGGCTGCCACCCACATGACCCCAACCAGGGCCAGGGACAAACTTCAACCAAGGTACGTGCCCTTAGCGGGAACCGAATCCAGGACACTCCGGTCTGCTGAGCCAAACCAGCCAGGGCTGTTGTTTTAAACTTTTATTTATTTTTTATTATTATTTTTTTGATTTATGTATGCATTGTGGAAAGCGGAATATCTTTTTTTTTTTTTATCCCCACTCGAGGACATTTTTACATTTATCATCAGATAAAGTGGGAGGGAGGGAGAGAGGAAGAGAGAGAGAGAAACATCGATGCGAGAGAGACACATCGAGTGGTTGCCACCCACACAGCCCCAACCAGGGCCAGGGACAAACTGTAACCAAGGTACGTGCCCTTAGCAGGAACCGAACCCAGGCCTCTCTGGTCCATGGGCCAACACTTCAACCACTGAGCCAAACCGACCAGGCTGTTTTAAACTTTTAAAAGCACTTCTTTGGCCCTGGCTGGTTTGGCTCAGTGATTAGAGCACCAGCCTGTGGACCAAAGGGACATGGGTGCGATTCCCAGTCAAGGGCACGTACCTAGGTTGCAGGTTTGATCCCTGGCCCCAGTCAGGGTCATGCAAGAGGCAACCCATCGATGTATCTCACATTGATGTTTCTCTCTCCCCTTCCTCCTTCCCTCCCTTCCACTCTATGTAAAAAAATCAATGGAAAAATATCCTGAGGTGAGGATTAACCAACATAAATAAGTAAATAAGTAAATAAAATAAAAGACTGCTTTGAACACATATCCATATACACCGTGTAACTCACCCACCCGAAGTACGCGAGCCCACGGTTTCTGGTAAACCCAGAGCGGTGCGACTGACCACCACCACTGTCAATTTTACAGCATGTGCATCACCCCAAACAGAAAGCCCGTGACCACTAGCAGTCACCCCCACCCCAGTGGGAGGCAGACACCATCCACCTTCCGTCTCTACAGATGGCCTACTCCGGGCACCTCATACACCCAGAACAGGGACCACGTGGCTGTCTGCATCTGCTTCTTCCCCTGAGGCGTCTGCAAGGGAAGGAGCTGCCTTTTCTGGGCAGACTCACGTGAGCGCCAAGGTTGCCGGCTTCGCTCACATTGCCGCGTGCCAGGTGCTGTGCCCGCTGTGCCCCACCCCCTTCTCCCGGCGCAAGGGGACAAGCAGCGCGTGGCCGCACCACCTGCGATGGAAACAGGACCCCAGGGCTCTCACATGTAACAGCGCAGCGGGCGGTACGTGGACACCAGGACGTACAAGCGCAGGTCGAACTTCCTCCCGCCGATTAGTAACGGGTTGTTGATGTAGAGAGAGATCACGTAGGCTTCCTTCGTGGACTGAGACACAAACCTGAATGTGGCAGAGAAAGCCAGACTTAGACGGCAAAGACCAAAGGTGCGTTTAGTCGGTTGGGAACCAACTCCCTCTAAGTGAGAAAGCAGGGGTGAGATGCTCCCAGGAGGAGCCCCCCCAGCCCTGCCCCAGGGGACAGTGGCATGGCAGCAGCTCTTAGGAGCCCATCAGGTGAGTGCTGGCTGACCCACCTGGGGGCTAGCAACGTGTCACCGATTTATTATTTTTAATTTTTTTTTTAATCCTCACCTGAGGACATTTTTTTCCATTTTTTGTTCAGAAAGAGTGGGAGGGAGAGAGAGGAAGAGAGAGAGAGAGAAACATCGACGTGAAAGGGACACATCAACTGGCTGCCACCCGCACGACCAACCAGGGCCGGGGACAAACTGCAACCGAGGTACGTGCCCTTAGCGGGAACTGAACCCGGGTCTCTCCGGACCGCAGGTCAACGCTCTAACCGCTGAGCCAAACCGGCCAGGGCTGTCACCAATTTATTTATTTATTTTTTTAACATTTTTTTCTTTATTGATATATTGGAGAGACAGAGGAAGAGAGAGAAACATCAATGAGAGAGAACATAGATTGGCCGTCTCCTACAAGCCCCCCACTGGGGATCAGGCCCACAACCTGGGAATGTGCCCCGACCAGGAATCGAACCGGCGACCTCCTGGTGCATGGGTCGACACTCAGCCACTGAGCCACACCAGCCGGGCTGTCACCAATTTAAATGTACTACACAGGAAGGCGTCCCCGCCAGTCCTGGGGACTGACAGGTGAGCCACCGCCCACGGGAAAGGATCACAGTGACAGCAGTGGAGGGCTTCACAGAGGCAGAGAGTGAGCCTTGGACGAAATGCCCTGGTATCCTCAGTTCCAAGGAGACCCCCAAACCCAGGGAGGAGGCTGGATCTGACCCAATGCAACTCCTCCCACTGACTGAAGCTCAGGTGCGGATCCACCCGGCCCACCCCCAACCCGCCCTGTGAGGGCAGTGCTGTCGGTGTCCTCGCTGCACCTAGACGAGGACAGTAAGTGTCAGGGAGTCAAGTCCTAGGTCTTAAGCAGACGCTTCACCACCTAGAAATACGATGACTGCACTGGTCGCACCCCAGCTCCCAGACAGAGGCTCCTGCTCTGCGACCTTGTGCTGGTTCTCACGTAATTTCCCACCGCCTCTCTCCTCGGGGGACAGTCTATGACTAATGACACTCTCGAGCCACAGGGCCTCGCCCTGATGCCACAAGACAAATGCTGTTGTCCTGTGAACGCCAGCGAGGGCCACCCAGCCCGTGGCCGACAGACGACGGATGACAGGAAACGGCCAGCGAGCAGGCACACGGAATGGGGGTGGTTCCCTCACTCACGAGGATGTTTTGCTGTCCCGGGACCACTTTTTGATTTGCGAGAGCTTGTTGATCAGAAAGATGCCCTTGCCCTGGGCTTTGCCACAAGGCTTCATGATCCAGGTGCTGGAGGGACTTTTCCTGAACTCCTCCACGAACAGGTTGTAGTCGGCAGGCAGCATGTAGGTGACTGGGACAAAGTCTGAAAGGTCAAGGAAAGAGGACACGGTGAGCCACGAACAGAAAATACTGCCACTGCCTTTCCGGGGGCCTGTGTCATTACCCACCCCCACCCAACCCAGCATCTAACGGAACGGGGACCTCTGCAGTTCAATTCCTGTGCAGTTAACTTACCTGTAGTACCTGCGCGCTAAGCACTTTGCAAGCTGTGTCCTCTACTCCTCACAGCACCTGTGAGCTGCAGACTGACCACATTCCCACTGCTCAGATGTGGAAACTGAGGCCCAGAGAGGTCCCTTACATGACTGTGCCCAGGTATGCGAAGGGATTCTGAAACTACCCGACAGTCCAGCTTTTTACCCTAGGACAGGGACACTTCTCCCTGGTTGCCGCTGGATCCCTCACGGCCCTTTGTAGCTCAGGAAGTGGTCACACATGCTGAGCGCTGGGGACATTCTCTCCCCCACACAAAGCACACTCCTAAGGCCATCACTCGGATTCTGAACTTGAGCCCCCCACCCCAGACTGGCTGGAAAGAGGCGCCCAGCGCCCTGAGCATAAACACATTCGCCCCGCAAAGCCGGCAGGCCCAGCGCCCTGAGCATAAACACATTCGCCCCGCAAAGCCGGCAGGTGCCGCTTAGGTGCTGTGTGTGGCTGGAGTTAGAAACCTCAACTATTTATATTTAAACGAGGCCAGCGAAAGGCACACACCCAGATAGAGGTATTTTCCATTCTCATCTTTCTCTGCCAGAGGACTCCCTTCTTTCTCCAGCTCTTTCCTGTATCTTTTAATGTTCTTCACCATCAGGTCCTTCCGCGTCAGTTCGTAGTGGTTGGGAAAGTGGTTGACTATTTGATCGTCTGAGAGCCGATAGCCTGTTTCGACACTGAAGATGTTTCGGATGGTCTGCACGCTCATCCTGAAAGGGAAGCACAGGAGGGACGTGCAGGGCGGACGCTCGCGTTTGTCCACGTGGAGGGTCCTCATTACGCCGGGAGCTCCCCCAGAGCCCTTACCCGCCCCCCCAGCACCTGGGCCAGGGGCGCCCAGCCCACAGCCCACGGCCCACAGTGGCACAGGAAACATGTCCAGGGACCAGCAGTGACATCAACTGTTGAGGCAGGAGCTGTTTTGACTGCCCTGAATGCTTTCACTCTCTGTAACTGTTTATCAATCAGCGATAACATTGATTATTAATAACAAACTAACGGAAAACAGACTCTGAAGTCAGGAAAGGCATCTACACAATATTTCCCCTCAAATCAGGAAGGACAGGGACCCCTTACACACAGAACCCCAGGGGTTACGACCCCGCGTCGGCACTAAGCTGGGCTGCGGCCTACTGACGTGAGGAGAAGCAGGAAGAGAAATGAATCCTTCTAACCCTCCAGGAAAGCCAGTGTCCCTGCCACAGCCCGAGGCAGGGAGAGAGGAGGAAGGAAGGGCTGGCCCCCACACGGGAACCAGAGGCACGAGACAAGGCAGCTGGTGCCCCTCACTCTGTGGTCCCACCCCCTGCCGCCACCCAGGGCACTAACCTAGAGAGAAGGTCTGGAGCACCCATGATCATTAGGACAGATTTTTTTTCTTACTTTTTATTATGAAAAAACTCAACCTTACATGAAAGTAGGGAGAAAAGTCTAACAGAACGCCAGACCCAGCCGGCAGCTGTCAGTACCCAGCCGGCCTGTACTCCACCCAGCTCCCCACACACCCACCTGCTGTTTTGTCTCCTTCATTTATTTCTTAATTATAGTTGACAGCACTGTCTTGTTCTGAAGCAATTCTTAGACATCATATTATTTCATCCAAAATGTTCCTGTAAGCCTGGCCAGTGTGGCCCAGTGGTTGAGTGTTGACCCATGCGCCAAGAGGTCGTCGGTCTGATTCTCGGTCAGGGCACATGCCCAGGTTGTGGGCTCGGCCGATCAATGTTTCTCTCTCATCGATGTTTCTCTCTCTCTCCCTCTCCCTTCTCTCTCGCTCTCTCTAAAAATAAACAAAAAACAAAACAAACTATGTTCCTGTAGGAACCTCTAGCAGCTAAGGACTCCTTTTTACATCATACAATATCCCATTTTATATTGTTATCACAACTAAAAAAGCAGCAGCAATTCCTGAATATCATCAAATATGAACCAGTGTTTAAATTTCCCTAACTGTCTGTTATTTCCTACAGCTGTGCAAATCAGTTGTTCTTTCTCTCACATCTTTTTTTAAAAATTGATTAGAGAGAGAGAGAAAGGGAGAGGGGAAGAGAGAGAAACGTCTATGCACGAGAGAAACATTGATTGGCTGCCCTCTGCACACCCTCAACCGGGATGGAGCCCGCGACCTGGGCATGTGCTCTGACGGGATCGACTGGTCACACCGGCCGGGGCTCTCACATCTCTTTCTTTCTTTTTTTTTTTAATCCTCACCCAAGGACATATTTCCATATTTTGTTCAGATAGAGTGGGAGGGAGAGAGAGAGAGAGAAACATTGACATGAAAGGGACACATCGAGTGGCTGCCACCCACACGACCCAACCAGGGCCAGGGACAAACTGCAACCGAGGTACGTGCCCTTAGCGGGAACTGAGCCCAGGTCTCTCTGGACCGCAGGCCGACGCTCTAACCGCTGAGCCAAACCGGCCAGGTCTCTTTCTTTCTTTCTTTTAAATATGTTTTTATTGATTTTTTTTTACAGAGAAATGAAGGGACAGAGAAATAAAAGCATTGATCAGCTGCCTCCTGCACGCCCCCTAATGGGGATTAAGCCCGAAACCTGCCCATGTGCCCTGACCGGGAGTCGAACCAGGACCTCTCAGGCCATGGGACAACGCTCAGTCCACTGAGCCACACCGGCCGGGCCCCGTATCTCTTTAAATTCACGCATTCTCCCTCCTTTGCTTTTTTCCCATTAACTTTGTTGACGACGCTGGGCTGGCTGTCCTGTTGGGTTCTCGCACGTTCCTTGTTTGGTGTGCTCCCCTGGTCTGGGATTCCTACACTGGGAGTCAGACCTAAAATCGTCAGGAGCTGTAGGTCAATTCTGGGGCAGGGCCGAGTCTTCGGTGGTGGATATGGCCACTGGCCGGTGAGTGACCGATGAGCACTGGCCAGGGCAGTGAACATAATGAGACTCATAGGTAACTGTGACTCTTCTGGTGGTCACATTAAAAAAAAAGGTGAAAAGAAATTGGTGAAGATCATTTTAATAACATATCTTATCTAACCTAATATATCAGAAATATTACCATTTTGATACATAAGCAACATAAAAATTAGTGACGAGAAACCTTATAAACCTTGTTGGTTTCTTCACGCCACGTCTCCGAAGCAGGGCGTGTGTGTCACACGTGTCATGCAGCCCACTGGGACCAGCACGGCTCAGAGCTCAGTAGCCCTGTGGTCAGTGGCTCCTGTTGGGACAGGCCCGGATCCTTATTTCTTTATTTTATTTTTGTTAATCCTCACCTGAGGATATTTTCCCATGGAGTATTAGATAGAGTGGGAGGGAGGGAGGGAGGGAGGGAGAGAGATGTCGCTGGAAGGGAGACACATCGGTTGGTTGCCTCCCGCACAACCCCGGCCGGGGCCAGGGATGGAACCTGTGGCTCTAACCGCTGAGCCACACCACCAGGGCCTGCATCCGTATTTCATCGGGTTACAGAATGGTGACATTCTACTCTCACTCCTTCCATTATTAGCGGGAATGTTTCTACAAGAAGAAACTTCCCTTCGTCAACAAAAAGAGTCCGTACAGGAAAGACTGACTGAACCTATGTGATTCTTTCCCTTCACTGGCCGTTCACATACGAGCTGCTCCCCCACCATCGCCAGGTGTGTGACCAGCTCTGTTCTGAGTACTTGTTCCTGCAAAATAAACTGCCCAGTGGCAGCAACTTACGACAACAACCCCTGGATTACATCTCATGGTCGTGTGGGTCAAGAATGTGGACAGGGCTCAGCCGAGTGTCACTGGGCGGTGTTCAGCCAGCGGATGAGCTGGTCTGGAGGGCACAGGAAGGCTCATTCATGTGCTGGCACCTTGGCAGGCAGGGCTGGGCACACGCAGCACCGACAGGCAGCTCCTCCAAGGAGACACTGCCAGGTAACACCCCTCCCCCTCCCTGACGGCAGCTCAGGGCGCCTGCACGGGTTCCCGCGGGGGAAGTGGAAGCTGCTCGTTTTGTAAGGCCTGGGCCCAGACACCTATCCCCCCGGCCTTGCTTTGGCCAAAGAGAGTGGCAGAAGCGACGGCACACCCTTCTGAGACGAGCCCGAAGGCCGAGAGCTCCCACCCTCCCTCCTGGGCCCTGCCACCATCACAGGAACAAGCCCAGGCGAGCCGGCTGGAGCGAGGTGAGGGGTGTGTGCAGAGAAGCCTGTTGTCCTAGCCATGGGCGGCCCAGACGAGCCAAGCCCCAGGGACCTGCCAGGTGACAGCAGACGCACGAGGGGACAGGCAGGGAACCACAGCACACAGCATGTGCTGCACGACCCCGACCGGAGGGTGTGGGCAGGCGGCACGCGGGACGGTGCATAAGGGACAGCATGGCACCTGCCCACGGAGCAGCTGCCACAGGCCAGGCACGGCTCCAAACTCGGCTCTACTGACTCAGTTCAACCTCAACAACCGAACCTGTGGACACAAGTCAAGCCCCTTGTGAACGGCCACACAGACAGCAGAAGAGGAGCTGGGTGGAGCCAGATCACACCTACTCTAACTCTTGGGTGCCCAGTGTGTGTCTCCAAGAGGGGCTGACGGGGTGGAGAGCACAGCGCGCCCCAAGACAAGAACGACAGGGGAAATGTGGCTGCTGCAGGGCCAGGAACTGGAAGGGAGGTGGCTAACAGGCCCTAACATCGCTCAAGGCACCCGCAGCAGAGTGAGCCTTGGGGAGGGGTGTGCAGGGTGAACAGGCCCCAGAGACCCTGACGTGCCCCCACCTCAACGATCCCCTGCCATGCTGACCCAGGTCTGCAGAGGGTCAGGGACGGCAGGGGCAACGACCGACTGGAGGGGCCCTGCCCGAAGGAGGGGCCGCCGAGGCAGGGAGCTGTCACCGTGAGGGCAGGGGCAGACCGGCGGGACCCAGGAAGGCAGAGGTGGAGGAGGCCAGGACAACTGCCAGGCTCCTGGGTGGGCGGAGTACCACCAGGAGGCGATGCCGGATCACTGCTCTTGCTTTCCCAGACCGACGCACCTTCCAGGTGGCGTTTTTAACCCAGAACAAATAGCACCCTCTTGCCATTTGAGAGGGAGGTCTACGGAAGCACAGAACCTCGAACCCGCCCGCCCCCACCCCAGACAGACCCTGGGCGCTGGGCAGCAAGCTGCTCTGAGAAACACTAACCCGGGTGCGGTGGGCTGTTCGGCTGTCTGATGAACGGGACTGGGGGAAACAGCACACACGGGCCCAGGGCTCTCGTGCTGGGGAGGTGCCGCGGAAAGAGAAGTGTGATGAGCCCACGGCCGCCTGGAGACACCCTCCCCTGGGACACGGCCCTCCACGAACTGCGACTGGCCTTGAGTTCATGACACCGATAACCAGGAAACCATCGTCCTGCTTTTCATACTCACCAGTAAAAATTCCAGTCCTCGCTTTCTGTCACCTGGACCCATCCTCTCTTTTCAAAGTTATTGATCAGCACGGACTTCTCGATATCAGTGACCCACTTCACCTTTCCTGCCATAATCCTGGAAGAGATCAACTTTTCAGGGCTGTGACACTTCACCAAGTTCCCCTCACCCCAGGGACCCTTCACGTTCGGGGCTTACACTGCCCCCAGTGCAGCCCCCTGGGACACTGGGCACTGTCAGGAGGCATTTTGTTGGCCACAGCTGGGGGTAAGGATGCTTCTGGCATCTACTGATAGAAGCCAGAGATGCTGCCCAACACACTGCAATGTGCAGGACGCCCCCTCCCCCCGCCACAACCAACTATCCAGCCCAAATGTCAACTGTGCCAAAACTGAGAAATTCTGGTCCTGTGGGAGATAAAGGCAGCAACTAATCACCACTAAAAGTTCTATTGCAATTGTGACAGGAGCCCAAAGGAGAGGCCCCGGGGCAGGGGGCAGGGGGCAGGGGGCAGGAGGACGGCCAGGAGCTGACTTCCGCTGGTGGGGGCAGCACCTATCCCAGTGCAAGCACCCACCTCAGGGCAGCCTAGCCCCCTGCTTCCTCCCCTGCCCGACTTCAGTTCTCTCTATGGGCGGGACCTTGAGGTATCATCACCCCTGTTTGTTTGTTTGTTTGTTTATTCTCCCTCCAACCAGCCCATTTTCCTGGCTTACAAAAATGAACAGATCGTAATATTCACATTCAAATGCCACCTTTGACTTCTTCAGAAGGTCCTCCCTAATTTCGAAATCAATTTAGATGCCCTTCTCTGTGTCCCCACGATCTGTGTGCAGACAATTAACACTGCACTGTCAGGGTGTACACACTGACGGACTCGTCTCCCTTCATCAGTAGAACTGAGCACGGGCCCTACATATGATTCTACTTTTCAACATGAATAGAAGACATAAAGGCACGCATGTGGCCTGTTTTGTTGAATGACTGATCTTCTTTGACATAAAAGAGTGCAGAAAGTTGCTTAAGGGCAACTCCATTCTCTCTTCCCTTTGCCTACGTATTTTTTTCATTATTTCTCTAATAGAAAGATCTACTACCCTGTTTTTCTTTAGGAAAAAATTAATGTAACGGGGCCTGAAGGAGACTTCCACTGACACAGTCATCACCCCTGTGTTTAATAACCTCCATGGCCCTCCAGTACCCTTGACAACACAGACCCCTGGCCCCTGCTTGTCCAGGCACACCTTGTGCCCCTTCCCCTCCACCCTCCCTGTTCTTGCCATACTGGGCTTCTCTGGCAAGCTTTCCTCTACCTCAGGACCTTGGCACATGCCGGATGTCTCTGCCTGCAGAAGTCCCGCCTCCCTCTCTGCCTGGCCAAGCCACCTGCCACTCATCTGCCAGCACAGGTGAATGTCACTTGCTCCACAGCCTCCCTGACTCTTCAGACCAGACACACAGCCCCTGGGCCCCCTGCAGTTCTGAACCTCCTGGAGGACAGGGGACTGGCTTTCCTCCTCACTGCTTTGTGCCCAGACCTAGCACCATGCCTGGCACGTGGTGACGCTCCATTCAGACTGGCTGACTGTGGCCCCACAACTACCAGCACCACCGTGTATCTTTTTTTTCCTTTATGATTTTTTTTTTTAGAGAGAGAGAGAGAGAAACATCGATGAGAGAGAACCTCCTGCACGCCCCCCACTGGGGATTGGGCCCACAACCTGGGCATGTGCCCTGACCGGGAACTGAACCGGCGACCTCTTGGTGCAGGGTCGATGCTTAACCAGTGAGCCGCACCGGCCGGACACCACCATGCGTCTTTGAGCAAGTTCCTTAACCTGTCTGGACCGGTGTCCTGCTATGAGGAGTCTGGCTTTCAAACTGCTCGGCAGTGCAGGAGCCCAGCGCCAGCCGGAGGAGGCTGCACTTGTTCCTCTTCTGTGCGCAACTGCATCTGAAGGGTTCCTCGGAAAGCGGGCTCGAAAGCCAGGGGCCTAGGGGGCCTTTGTGAACGGAGGCACCTCCGCCGAGGACTTACAATAGCAGGGCAGAAAAGGCACGTGAGGTGACATGGGGACCCAAGGGGGCCTGCTCGAGAGGACAGAGCAGGCACTCCGGTGACACAGTCCGAGCTCGCAGTGCTCACGCAGGGCAGCACAGGCCCTCGTCACCTCCCAGCACTGGGCGTGTCACAGAGGTGAGACTGTGGCAGAGCATGGGCCTCTGAGCTGGGGTTCGAGGCCCAGCTCCACCACTCACTAGCTGTGTGACTTTGGGCAAGTTACCTAACCTTTCTGAAACTTCTGGGTCCCTGGTAAAATGAGGGTAACAACTGTATCTACACACCTCATTGGTGACTGTGAAGATTCAATGAGTGGCCCTGGCCGGTTTGGCTCAGCAGTTGGAGCGTCGGCCTGCAGTACAGAGAGACCTGGGTTTGGTTCCCACTAAGGGCGCGTACCTTGGTTACAGTTTGTCCCCGGCCCTGGTTGGTTGTGCGGGTGGCAGCCACTCGATGTGTCCCTTCACATTGATGTTTCTCTCTCTCTCTCTCTCTCTTCCTCTCTCTCCCTCTACCTGAACAAAAAATGGAAAAATGTCCTCGGGTGAGGATAAAAAAAAAAGATTCAATGAGTGAACACACATAATGCACTGAGAACAGGGCGGGCCTGACACAGGGAAAACACTCAAGAAATATTTGACATTAATATCATCACTGTCCTCACTTTATGGATGAGGAAGCTGAGGTTCAAAGGTTACGAGCCTGTGTAAAGTACCAGACCAGCCCTGGCTGGTTTGGCTCAGGAGTTAGAGCATTAGCCTATGGACCAAAGAATCACGAGTTCGATTCTGGCCAAGGGCACGTACCTCAGTTGCGGTTCAGTCCCTGGCCCTGGTTGGGGTCATGTGGGAGGCAACCAGTCGATGGGTGTCTCTTTTACATCGATGCTTCTCTCTCTCCTTCCCACTCTATCTGAATATAAATGGAAAAAAAATATCCTAGGGTGAGGATTAAAAAAAAAGAAAAAGAAAGAACCGCCCTGGCTGGTTTGGCTCAGCAGTTAGAGCGTCAGCCGTGGTCCAGAGAGACCCGGGTTCGGTTCCCGCTAAGAACATGTACCTCAGTTGCAGTTTGTCCCCAGCCCCAGATGGGGGTGTGGGTGGCAACCAGTCAATGTGTCTCTCTCACATCAATGTTTCTCTCTCTCTCCCTCCTGCTCTATCTGAAGAGCAAAAAATGTCCTCGGGTGAGGATTTAAAAAAAAAAAAGAACCAGATCAAAGGGAGTCATGGTGCCTTGATTCAAACCCAAGAGACCCTACTTTATTTATTTATAAATATGTTTTTATTGATTTCTTTGAGAGAGAAGAAGGGAGAGATAGAAACATCGATGTAAGAGAGAAACATCGATCGGCCACCTCCTGCACACTCCCCACTGGGGATGGAGCCCACAACCCGGGCATATTCCCTGACTGGGAATCGAACTGGGACCTCTTAGTCCATGGGATGATGCTCAATCCACTGAGCCACACCACTGGGCAAGAGACCCTACATTAAAGTGCTACCTGTTTCAACACAGCCCTTCCCTTCCCTCTGTGAACTTGACCTTCACCAGGTTGACAACACCCACAGGGTCAAAGTAAGGAATAAATGGAACCTCTCTGCAAACTACAAGGCACCATCTAACAACCATATAAGGTTATTAGCCGACGGGTCACGGTCCACGTGCAGGATCAGCGGTACCCGCACAGCAGTGACGGCGGCAGCATCACAGGGACTCCTCACTGCATGCTGTTCCCGGAGTCCCAGCACTGAGCAAAACCCACGCCTCGCACACCCATTCGCACAGGTGTCAGCACCACCACAGAAGAGAGTCTACCTCTGGATTCAATTTCAGCCAGCACAGCCCTGCAGTCCTGACGAATCCTGCTCCTGTCCTGCCCCCTGCAGTCCAACTGCAGAAGCCGGGTTTCAGGTGAGAATCACCCCCAGCCAGGCAGCACTCACACCACCACCACCCCAGCCACACAATTCCTTCGCTCACTTTATCAAATCTCCCTGGATGGCCTCCCCACATCCACTGACCCCCGGGGATGACGCAGAGGGAGAGCAACAACGGAAAATCACGAAGGCACGCGCTGTGACTTCACTGAGCAGGAGGTGGAGCCTCCGAGGAGGTGAGGCCCTCTTCCCGGCCCTGCTCCCTCTATCGTGACAAGCAGTCACCCAGGGAGAACATCTCAGGCTGGACCTACCATAGGTCCTTATGGAGCCAAACGTCCAGTTCTCTTCAGTTTCACCGACTCTTGCCTCGCTCGCCTTGTGTTCGTACCTAAAATAAAATGAACACGCAGGTGAAATGCACATGGTACAAGATCATCAGACACGCTGACAGTTGTGAACACAGCAGGACTGTGACTGAGCAGAGCACTCAGTGGAAAGCGTCTTCTGTTTAACAAGTGCACCAAGGACGCCTTTAGGTCCTTCTCTGGCCGCGATGAGTATTCCTGAATGCTACTCCTTACTGGCTCCCGCTGACCCTTCTGAGCCACCACCCCACCCCGACACGCACGCTGCTCCTTCTGGCCGGTCCATTCACCTGCGTGACTCTCCTACCCGCCAGCCTGTGCTGGTGCCCTTCTCTCCACTGCTCCTCATCTTAACTCCGGCCAGTCACATACACAAGGCACCCCCCCCAGGGGGCCGCCCTCAGCGCCTTCAGGGGACGAATATTCCGGCCCTGAAATCTGTATCCCTCCCCTGCCACCTCTGTGGGTACTCGGAACTTCCTACTTGCATTTTAGTTCTGTGTGCACTCCTCCTGTAAGGGCAGAAGGCGGGGACTCTCTCAGTCACCTGTTCCCCTCATCCCATCGAGTCTAGATTGAAGTGTGGCGCCTGCAGCAAAGCCCGCGGTCCCTTTGCCCGACCCTGCCACCTCCAGCACCTCGGCCACTGGCAGGGGAGCAGCGCCCCGTGACTACTCACTGCGAGGGAGCGAACTGTGGGCAGGTGCTCAGGGTCGGTCAGTCCTTTGAACCTGACTCTTCGCTTTCAGTGGTCACTTCCGGAGATGTGTTATGGGCTCAACTGTGCCACCCAAAACATACGCTGAAGCCCTAACCCTGGCACCTGTCAATGTGACCTTACTTGGAAGTAAGGTCTATGTGGTTAAGATGAGGTCATTCAGGTGGGCCCTAAGTAATGACAGGTGTGCCTATAAGGAACTGGGACCCAGACACACAGGTGGAGAACACCATGCACACACAGGAGCACAGGCACAGGAAGACGGGCATGTGAACACGGAGGCGGAGAGCAGAGTTAGGCTCCACAAGCCACCGATGCCCAGGCTACCAGAGGGCAGAAGGGGCAAGAACTCCCTCCTCCATACTCTTCAGAGAGCATAGCCCTGCCAACACCTTGAGCCTGCCGGGCTCTGGGCAGGTGCTGGAGATACCCACCCGCCTCCCAGGGTTAAGCACTAATTACACATCTGTATTATCGCTAGAAATAACAGCTCCCACTTATCAAGTGCTAGGAAGTGGGGGGCACTGGGTTGGGCAGCTTGTCCTTTTCTTCTCTTCTAGGTACCTCATTTATGGCTCCCATGATGCCCCAGAGCAGGCATTCTCTCCATTTATGGGGACGATGGAGGAAGGGGAGTTCGACAGTAAGAGGCAGAGGAGAGACTGCAACCTGCTGTCAACCCACCCTGCCTCCCTCCCACACTGGGTGTCAACTGTCCCATGTCAGACTTCGACCCCCCGCAGGCCAGGGGGTGCGTTGACTCTGTCCTCAGCACCCAGCCAGTGAGTTGGCTCAGAAATCTGCAGAACAAAGGAACCAGTGGGCCAATCCCATAGTACAGAAGCCAGGGCAAACGCCTTCCCAACCCTAAGACATACTAAGCACCCCCCCACCCCTTTTAAGTCCTCAACCAAGGATACTTTTCCATTTATCTTAAGATAGAGTGGGAGGGAGGGAGGGAGAGAAACATCGATATGAGAGAGACACATCGATTGCCTGCCTCCTGCAGGACCCCGACCAGGGCTGGAACCAAACTGCAACCGAAGTACATGCCCTTGACCAGAATCGAACCTGAGACTCTTCGGTCCTTGGGCCAATGCTCTAACTGCTGAGCCAGACTGGCCAGGGCATACTAAGCCCTTTACTTAGCATGTTGATTGCGTCTCTTGCCTCCTTTCCTGGGTCAGAACCGTTCAGGAGCACCACACCCCAGACGGCGTTTCGTGGCTGTCAGGGCTGAGGAGCTAGACAGAAGTATTCAGTGGGTGCTTTGACCACCCAGCCAGTCACTGTGGCCCTGAGGAGGCAGTGACTAGGAATTCAATCAAGCACCAAATCATATCAGTTCTACTCCAGAAGATTCCAGATCCTTCTGCGCCTCTCCCCAGCACCCCGGAGATCCTGGACAAGCACAGGATCTGGTCTCCTTAGTGCCGTCCGCACCCCCTGCACCCCTTTCTCCACCCAGCAGCAGACTGCTCTTTCTACACAAAGCAAATCAGGTCACTCTGCTCTTACAACGGCTTCCCACTGCACTCAGAATAAAGCTAGCGGTCTGGCCCTGGCCAGTTTGGCTCAGCGGTTAGAGCGTTGGCCTGAGGACCAAAGAGTCGCGGGTGCGATTCCAGTCAAGGGCATATACCTCAGTTGTGGTTCGGTTCCCAGCCCTGGTTGGGGTCATGCAGAATCCAACCAATCGATGCGTCTCTCTCACATCGATGTTTCTCTCCCTCCCTCCCACTCTAACTGAAGATAAATGAAAAAATATGCTCGAGTGAGGATTTAAAAAAACACACAAGAAAACCTAGCAATCTGTCCACGACCTAAAAGGCCACCCTGAGTGATCTGGGTCCCCATCACTTCTCGGGCCTTGTCTCCTGGCACCCTCCCCACCCATCACCACCCCTCGCCAGCCCTGAGCCTTCCTGCAGCTTCTCATACCCACCAAGCTGCATCCTGTCTTGGGCTTTGCTCTTCCAGAATGTCTGCCCTTCTCAAAGGTCAACTCCTCGGAGCGGCTTTCCAATCTCCACCTCAACCCTCCCTACCACGGCACTGTCCCTACTCTGCAGCACTCACATTGCAGGTGTTTGGGCTGGTGCCAACTCAAGGCAAAGTCCGTGAATCTGCGGCATGGGCATCACCTGGAACTTGTTGGAAGTGTGAATTCTTGACACCCCCCCCTGCCTATGATGCGCTGCTTCAGACTCCAAGAATGGGACGCAGCAACGTGTCTTAAGCTCTCAGGTGATTTACTTACACATGTTGGAGTTTAAAAGGCATGGGTCTAGTTCATGCATTCGGTCCTTGGGCATTACCTGTCTTCAACACAGACCTGTCATATCATAAGAGCAGGAATGCGGTTCCACTTTTATCTCCTGCTGAATCCCCAGTCCCCAGAACAGTGTCTAGTAAAAGCACACACTCAACCAACATTCAGTGAATTAACACAAATAAAGCTGTGAATTCCCAGCACACACCATCAGACAAGAGCCGCTCGGACCAAGCAGTGAATGGGCCCGACCTGGCCCTGCTGGGGAGGGAAACCTGAACACCATCACCCACAAAGTGCCACAGCTTTACCAGCGCATGAAGTGGGGGCTGAGAGCTTGGTTGGTTTCCGCTGAGTAAGGGACCACCGCAGGGAACATCCATGCCTACAACCCCACAGGACAGAACTTTGCCAAGAGGCCTTTCATATCCTGGAATTATGACTACTCTCAGGCAAAGCCGGAACAACCTTCCAGGAGAAACAGCGAGCAGGGCAGGCTTCATCTCGCTCCTCTGGTCCAGCCATCTAAAACCAGAGCTCTCTCTGCCCTCAACCCACTACCCCAGACCATCACCGGCGCTTTCATGAAGTCCCCACAAGGCCAGGAGTCTAGGGCATCTGGATTTGTCTCCAGCTAGCCTTCTTTGAAAAGGAAAGAGTGCCATCTTTATTTTTGTTTTAATTTTATTTTTAAAGTATTTTTATTGATTGTTAGAGAGGAAGGAAGGAGAGAGAGAAACATCGATGTGAGAGAGAAACATCAACTGCATGCCCACCAGAGCTCAAACCCGCAACCTGGGCATGTGCCCTGACCAGGAATCGAACTGGCAACCTCTTGGTGCATGGGAGGGCACCCAACTAACTGAGCCATCCACACCGGCCAGGGCCAAAAGTGCCATCTCTAACAATAATAAAGTAAGGTGAATGACTTCGCATCAGCACAGTGTATTCGTTGGTAGCTGCATGGCCACCCTGCACCTCCTCACCCTCATCGGTTGACAGCGCCACGCTCCACGCGACTGTGCACCCGTGCCTGGAACTGAGGGCAGGGCAGGGCCGATCTTTTGCACTGCCGCAGCCTAGCACTGAAACGTGCTCAACAGATGTTTCCGGAACAAAGAACCGCTTTGCGAACCCTGCACGGCTTATCCCGGCACGACACTTTTACTTCTAGAAGGGATCCCCTGTAATGCCCCAGCCACTCGACGAGGCGGACGGCCACCTCTGCCCACACCCACTCTAACTGATGGGGACACGGGGCAGGGAGATGCCTAGGTCCAGACCCAGAGAGAGGGGCGCAGCGCGGGGAACACACGTCTCCTGCCCGCCGCGCAGCCCTCTCGCCGCAGGTGCACCGCGCGCTGCAACATGCCAGCAGAAACCTTACGCTGGCAGCAGAAGCCCGGGAACGATAAAGTGCTGGGAAAACCCAGCATATGAAGAATGCAATGAATGAAAGGATCGGGCGGCACCAGGTAAGCCACAGGAACTCGGGGGAGGAAGAGGGGCACAGCGGTCAGCACCGTTCCTGGAGGGCGCGGGCCCGACTCGCAGCAGCTGCGCCTCTCGGCAGCTGCGGGGTAGCCCGGGCGCGCACGCTCCCTCGCGCATGCGCAGTCCTCCACCCAGCCAGCCACACCCTCGGCCCCGGGAGGCGGCAGCCCGGGCGCGGGGCCTCACCTGTGGGCGCGGGGCCTCACCTGTGGGCGCAGAGCGCGGAGCAGCGCCGAGGGGCACAGAGCAGGGCGGCCCCGCACCGCGCCCCGGCCCCGCCTCCAGCCTTCCCCGCGCTCGCCGGAGGACGCCGCCCGCTGCCCGGCGGACCGGCCCGCCGCGCCCTACTTCCGGGGCGGCGTCCTGGCAACCAAGACGCGACCCCCGGCGCTGCAACTGCTTCCGGGGTCAGACCGGCCCGGCCGTCTCCAGGCCCCCCAGGGCCGAGAGCGGGGTGTGCCTGTCGGTTAGCCCCCGGCCCGCGCAAGCTCAGGGCCCGCAGATGAGGTCGAGGAGGGTGGGCGCGGGGCTGAGGCTGACGGCCACAGGCGGAGCGGCGTGATGGTTGTGCACTGAGTCCGCCCTGTACCCCTGCTGCTCGGCTTCTCTGTGAAACTGGGACTGTGCTCCACCTCCTTGGACATGCTGCTTAATAACAGTCAGCGAATGGCCCACTCAGCCCTGGCCTGGCAGCCCAGTTGGTTATAAGGTCCATCCTAGAAGCAACCAGTGAATGCATAAATAAGTGGAACACAAATCAATGTCTCTCTCCCCCCCCTCTCTAAAATCAATTAAAAATATTAAAAAAAAAATTATTTTTTAATCCTCACCAGAGGATATTTTTCCATTTTTTGTACAGATAGAGTGGGAGGGAGAGAGAGAGAGAAACATCGACGTGAAAGGGACACATCGAGTGGCTGCCACCCGCACGACCAACCAGGGCCGGGGACAAACTGCAACCGAAGTACGTGCCCTTAGCGGGAACCGAACCCGGGTTTCTCCAGACCGCAGGCCGACGCTCTAACCGCTGAGCCAAACTGGCCAGGGCAATTAAAAATATTTAAAAAAAATACTAAGTACATAAATGGCCCACTCAAAGGTCAGCCCATTTGTGAAGTGTTCCCTTGAGTATGGGACAGGTCTAGTTCTTTATATATTATGTTTTTAAACCCTCACCAGAGGATATTTTTCTATTTATCTTCCGATAGAGTGGGAGGGAGGGAGAAAGAGAGAGAGAGAGTGAAACATCAATGTGAGAGGGACACATCGACAGGTTGCCTCCCACACGACCCTGACCAGGGCTGGGGAGGAACCACAACCGAGGTATGTGCCCTTGGCTGGAGTTGAACCTGCGACTCTGGTCTGCGGCCAACACTCTAACCACTGAGCCGAAACAGCCAGAGTTCAAACTATATACAGTATTTTTAAAACTCACTCTGTGCCCCGGCCAGTCTGGCTCAGCGGTTGGAGCGTCGGCCTGCGGACCGGGGAGTCCTGGGGTTCGGTTCTCGCTAAGGTCACGAACATCGGTTGCAGTTTGTCCTCCCCACCCACCGGTTGGGGTTGTGTGGGTGGGGCTACTCCATGTGTCTCACGTCAGTGTTTCTCTCTCTTCCTCCCTCTCTCTGTCCTGCTCTATCTGAAGAAAAATGCCAAAATGTCCTTCGATGAGGATAAAAATAAATAAATAAATAAATAAATAAATAAATAAATAAATAAATAAATCTCCCTCTGTTAGGAATAAGTAGCCCGATATAATGAGAAACAAAACTGAAGCCAGACCTGATTGAATCCTCACTGTGGCGTTTAAGCTGAAGCCCTGTGTCTTAGTCTGTTCAGGCCGCTATAACAACACACACCAGAGACAGAGTACTTTCTAAACTCCAGAAATTAATTTTTCACAGTTCTGGCACCAGAAGATTGGTGTCTGATGAGGGCCTGCCTGCTACCTGGTCATAAATGATTGTCTTGCTGGGTCCCCCATGCAGAAGGAGTGAGGGCGCTCCCTGGGGTCTCTCTTATTAGGGCACTAATCCTGTTTATGAGGGCTCCACCCTCATGACCTACCCACCATCCAAATGTCCCACTTCCTGATACCATCGCACTGGGGATTAGAATTTCACCACATGAATTTGAGGAGGCCTAAACCTGGTCATTGTACTGTGAGAGTAGTTCATAAAGAGAGAGTTTAGACATCCAACCAAAAATATTAAAGACCAACAACATTCGAGAAAGACACACAGTCCAGCCAGAGTGGCTCAGCGGTTGAGCGTTGACCCATGCACCAAGAGGTCACCAGTTTGGTTCCTGGTCAGGACACATGCCCAGGTTGTGGGCCAAATCCCCAGTGGGGGACATGCAGGAGGCAGCCAATGTGTCTTTCTCATATCAATGTTTCTCTCTCCCTTTCTCCCTCCCACTCTATCTGAAGATAAATAGAAAAATATCCTTGGGTGAGGATTTAAATAAATAAATAAACCTATAAAAAATCAATAAGAACATATTTTTTTAAAAAAGAAAGAAAGGCACACAAATCAGCAAAGGAAAACTGAGCGCCAAAGAAACTTCTAGATCAGAAGTCAGCAAATCACTGGCCACATCCAGCCTTCCACCTATTTTTTGTAACTCAAAGCTAAGACTGGTCTATACCAATGACCATTTGCAATCAATTGATGATAGCGAACACTAACTTTTAACCCCAATTAAGTGAAATTTATCCCACCTCCTCCTCAAAAACAGGTCCATTTTCTCATTAGTAGACCTGTATTACAAAAGAATTATACTCAATTTTTTTTAATCCTCACCCTAGGATATTTTTCCATTGATTTCTAGACAGAGTGGGAGGGAGGCCGGGAGAGAGAGAGAGAGAGAAAGAAACATCGATTGGTTGCCTCCCACACCACCCTGACCGGGACCGGGGATGGAACCCAAAACCAAGGTGCGTGCCCTTGTCCAGTAATCGAACCCAAGAGTCTTCAGTCCACCCTTGGGCGAATGCTCTAACCACTGAGATAAAGCGGCCAGAGCCAGTTATACTCAATTATTATTATATTTTTTATTTCATCTGAAAAGTTATAAAATTTTGTGGAATGTGTAAGTGGCAGAGCCTGGATTTGAACCAAGAAAACCTGCCCATTCACACCGCTGCCTCCCTGGAAAGTATGTAGCGAGTTGCCTTCTGGAAAGATTGCATTTTCTGGGTGATGTTCTGAGCTGTACTTACAGGGAGTCCTGAAACCTCCCACAAGCCTCTCCAAGACTATTTTCGTTCATCGTTTACCTTTTAGCACCATCTAGTGGAACCAGCACTAATCTGGAGTCTGACTGGCCGAAGTCACACCCCACAGCTACCGCTGTGCCTCCATGGCTCTCAGCCTGTGTTCCCTGCCCCTCTGCCCCCAGAGAGGGGTGCTGTCCTCACGTGGCCCTTCTCCACCCCCACTAGAGTGCGTCCCTTCACCAAACTTGTCCTGCCCAAAGTTGGTGACAAAGCCTGTCCAAGGGTCTTTATTATTATTATTATTATTATTATTATTATTTTAATCCTCACCCGAGGACATTTTTCCATTTTTTGTTCAGGTAGAGTGGGAGGGAGAGAGAGGAACAGAGAGAGAGAGAGAAACATCGATGTGAAAGGAACACATCGAGTGGCTGCCACCCACACAACCGACCAGGGCCGGGGACAAACTGCAACCGAGGTCCGCGCCCCCAGCGGGAACCGAACCTGGGTCTCTCAGGACCGCAGGCCGACGCTCTAACCGCTGAACCAAACCAGCCAGGGCCCAAGGGTCTTTTTTACTAAGAACTACCAGTTTCACGTTGGCTGATGGCCAGAACCAGCTACATAATTTAAGGGGCCCCATGCAAAACAAAAATGCAGATACCCTTGTTAAAAAATTATTAAGAGCTCTGGCCGGTTTGGCTCAGCGGTTAGAGCATTGGCCTGCGGTCCAGAGAGACCCAGGTTCGGTTCCCGCTAAGGGCAGGCACCTCGGTTGCAGTTTGTCCCCGGCCCTGGTTGGGTTGTGTGGGTGGCAGCCACTCGATGTGTCCCTTTCACGCCTCTCTTTCTCTCCCTCTCTCTCCCTTCCACTCTATCTGAACAAAAAATGGAAAAATGTCCTTGGGGTGAGGATAAAAAAATATATATTATTAAGAATTTTAACTTAGCTCCAGCAGCATTACACGCGTTGCAGGGCCGGTCTGAGCACGAGGCACCTGTGCCGCTGCCCAGGTTGCAGCTCCGTGAAGCGGGCCCTGCCGTGTGCAGGACGCTGCCCTGAGAACCTGGCCAGAACGCCACTCGCTGGGCCCTCGCAGGAACCTGCCCAGGGAGTGGTGTTAGCCCACACTTTAAATGTATTTTGTTTATTTATTGTTTAAAGAGAGAGGAAGGGAAAGAAAGACAGAAACATCTATGTGAGAAACATCAACTGGCGGCCTCCTGCACACCCCCTACTGGGGATCGAGCCCACAACCCTGGGCAAGTGCCCTGACTGAGAATCTAACTGGGACCTTTCAGTTCACTGAGCCACACCAGCCGGGTTTTTCCACTGATTTTTAGATAGAGTGAGAGGGAGGAAGGGAGAGAAAGAGAAAGATCAATGTGAGAGAGACACATCAATTATTCGCCTCCTGTATGACCCCAACCAGGACCAGGATCAAACCTGCAACCCAGGTATGTGCCCTTGACTGGAAATTGAACCCGCGACCCTTTGATCCCAGGGCCGAAGATCTAACCGCTGAGCCAAACTTGGCCAGGGCTATATCCACTTTTTTTTTTTTTTTAATCCTCACCCGTGGACATTTTTCCATATTTTGTTCAGATAGAGTGGGAGGGAGAGAGAGAGAGAGAAACATCGACGTGAAAGGGACAAATCAAGTGGCTGCCACCCACACAACCCAACCAGGGCCGGGGACAAACTGCAACCGAGGTGCCTGCCCTTAGCGGGAACCGAACCTGGGTCTCTCTGGACCGCAGGCCGACGCTCTAACCACTGAGCCAAACCGGCCAGGGCTATAGCCACTTTTTTTTTCTTTATCCTCACCCGAGGACATTTTTCCATCTTTGTTCAGGTAGAGTGGGAGGGAGAGAGAGGAACAGAGAGAGAGAGAGAAACATCGATGTGAAAGGGACACATCGAGTGGCTGCCACTGCACGACCCAACCAGGGCCGGGGACAAACTGCAACCAAGGTACTATAACCTGGGTGTCTCTGGACCGCAGGCCAACGCTCTAACCGCTGAGCCAAACCGGCCAGGGC